TATACTGCTCTATATATAAATTTGTAAATATTTTAAGGATGTAAAAAATTTTACCATCTGATTTCACACTTATTTTCGACTTTTGTTAGTCAACATGGGCAATAAATGGATTTGCTTGCTACGTATTCAAAATTGTCGAAAATCACGCCTGCCTATAGTGTTAACATACACATGAACTGAGATAATTTTTTTTTTTTTTTTTGATAAAAAAGATGGCTGCGAAAGGCAATACCCAAAGCAATATTAATAACATAATATCTTTAAGTTACTGTAATTAGTGTTAACAAAATTTTATTACTAGCTTTATTAACTTTTTAAGCATGATGTTTAAAACTATGCTTCTTCACATATTTTTAGGGAATTTCTAAATTTTAGATACTTTGCACTCCTTCTACTTACTCTCCCTTGACCCTTTTGGGATGAAATATTGTTTCATTGCTATTTTTTTAGTTAAAGTTTAACTGTAAATGGATAAAAGATTTTACTTTCACTTTTGCTGGTATGCAAAAGCATGCATCAGTAGTGTTAGATAAGAAAATCATACGACCGGGATTAGTTAACAAAACATTCAGATATATTTATTATAAACATATCATACTTAAGATAGAAAGGAAACTTAAAAGATCTATAACAAATTAAAGTCATAAATTTATCTTACATGCACACACATGTATTAAAACCCAATATATATACATAACAAAAGCTTCCTGCAACCGCAAATATTGTAGGCGCAAACAGTTCGCGTTGGCATGTTTAATCAGATTTTGTCAAAGGATTTTTGGCATTTGAAAGAAACGGACTTGCGTTAGAGCACTGCGTTGTGAAATTTGTTTAAAAAAAAAAAAAAAAAAAAAATTTTTATCATTAAGTACAAGGTGTCTGAAATGGAACTATCATGCTACCGGATTACAAACATCATTTACTTCCAGTTCTGTTGCAAAACGTCAGCTACATAATGTCACCAAATTATTTATTATTTATTTATCAAATGACTGGCCATTGACAATCAGGTCATTAGACAACAGGCTCTCCAACACTCCTTTAAAATACAAGCTCTTAAGTGCAGAGCACACATCCAGATGAGCAGTATCCATGACTTGTCCAGAATCATAGAAAGCATATAAAGGTGAGACAGTCAGATTAAAACAAAACAAAAGAGCACCAAGGCAGTCATGTCCAGTCAATAGTCTTAACCACAGCAGTAGTACAAGGTGAGTCCGAGACACAGTCGACTTTTAATAGCACCTTCCATGACTTATTTTCAGTAGCACTAACAGCAGCATTTACGAAAGAACTTTTTATAAATTCTATTGATTTCAAATTTATGTCACCAAATCATGTATACAGCTTTAGGTACTAATGTTGTATCATATGATACTTTGAAGGTTTAGTATTGAAAGTTCAAAAACAAGGACTATGACATTTGAGAAGCAGAGTGCTCTGACCAGTCTACTGATGTTGTTGAGGCCCAACTGCTAGAACTTGTGGAAGTTCAGTATGCAACCACTCGACAGCTTGCTAAGGAATTACACATTAGTGCCATGTCCATAAATTACACTATTTATCGCATAAACTTGGCATACAAGTTTAACCGATGGGTACTGTATGAACTGACTCAAGCAGATACGGATGGACATGTTCGGGCCTGCACTAATCTGCTTGAATGTCAACGCAAGGACAAAATTCTCGATTGGATCATCACTTGTGATGAAAAGTGGATTTACCTCAACAACACAGGCCAAAAAGAGTGCTATTCTGCACATAGTAAACCCATCGGCAGCGTTGTTAAGCACAATTTAAATAAAAAGATCATGCTTTGTATCTGGTGTGACTGCAATACAAGAATATATGTGTCTGCATTCACTGGCTGCACTCTATGAAGACTCGAATGTGATCTTTTGCCCCACCCACCTTATAGACCCGGGATCGCTCCTTTGTATTCCTACCTTTGTTTCACACCTGCAGTTATATCTTGCTGGTGCTATCTTCCATTCTGAAAAGGGCATCTGAAATGAGGTTGATCTGTTTTTGGATTTGTGACCACCAAGTTTCTGGGCTGAAGGTTTTGAAAAACTACCAAAACGTTGGCAGAAAATCATAGATTTAGGTGGTGATTATTACCCACACTAAGGTACTGCTTTCATTTCCCCTTAACCTCATTAAGAACGTGTTTTTTTTTTTTTTTTCCCCTTCTTGGAAAACTTTTGATACAAACAGACATGTTACACAGGGACATGTTCTTGATTTCTAATACTGGTTATATTAAAAAAAATATGCACATGGACACGTTCTTGATTTCTAATGCTTGTATTTTTAATAAGTTATTAAATAAAAATTATCCAGAAGAAAATCAAAACCATCACATTATATAACTTGCAATCAAGTTACTCTTTTAAATGTTTATTCGATTCTGGTGAATTGATATGCATACCAATGCAGGTTAGCACATAGACCAATATGATCCATTTCCATAATTCAAGTTTCAAAAGCATTTTTGCTGCTGAGAAAACTATTGATTGAATGCTAAAATACATGAAGATGATGGAAGAGATGTTCCCTTATGTATCCAGTGTTCTTCTGGATATCCAATGCATATGTTTCAAGAGCTCTAAGAGAGACAGAAAGTTTCCTATAGCATAATTCTTCTTACCACTTCAAGAAAAAAACATAAATATTAACAACTGCATCATTTATCTGCACCAATATTTGCATAAGGAAAAAATAAAATCATATAAAATGAAATAAAAGCTAGAAACCCTTAAAGAATTCCATATAGAACAATGGTCATGTTTCTATCCAGATTTCGGTTCTTATGTTTGTTTAATATTACAAAAAAAGTAAGTACAAGCTATATAAAAAGCTACAATGACTTCTTTTTTCCCCTTCACCTACCTAGAATTGAACACAACGGTATAATGCAATGTACTTTTAGGGAGGGGAGTATGAAATACAGGCTAAAAAGATTAAGATGATAATGCATAGTTGTTTAATTAAACACACACACAAAAATTTATTTTTGAGACAGCCTTTTCACTGTACAAATTCATATGTACAATAATTTTGATAATCATGCTTTGCATATTCCAGAAAAAAGGGATACATACGATGCATGCAATTATAGCATATGGTTATTGCTCCACTTTTAGTATCTTTAAATTATTAACTCAAAACACTTTAGAATTCAATATAAAAATAGAAATCGATGATAAAAATTGCTCAAGTTATGGCACAAAAATTGACAATACTAAATATAATGAGAATAGACCATATTATGATTAAAAAAAAAACTTTTTTAAAAGGCAGTTGTTTACTTCTCCTTAGAGAATTCTTAAAATGAAATATTTCTTCACTATTCATATTTAATGCATAAAAAACATTTAGCACTGAATGAATCCAAAAAAGATTAAGAATGTTATAATCATATTATTTAAAATGCTATTTCTGATGATAGAATTATGTATATTTCAAAACTATTCAGAGAAAATAAAGATTCCCCTTCTCCAAGAAACAAATTCAAAAGTCTTTCTTAATTATTTATTCAATTTTTTATAAAGATCGCAATTTAAAAATATATTTAAACAAATAAGGGTTTAAAAAAATTATTACACAATAGAAAGCAAAATAAATTCTATTATATTATCTAACATTACACACTTAGTTTGTTCTGGCTGTTTAACTTTAAAATTACATTGATTTTTCTCTAAATTTCTAATTCTTCTTCAGAAAGTTGTCAAAAGTTTCTTCAAAAAGTCTTCCATGTCCTAATTATTTCATATGTGGATTTTTTATCTACTATTAGAAGGTCTGATGTTCTTATTTAAATTAAAAACATGTGGATCATATGCATGTCTATATTTTATGAATAATCCTGCTTTTCATATATATATATATATATATATATATATATATATATATATATATTACAAGCCATAATATTTTTATTATTTCATTTATGTTGTTTGAATTTATTTTGGTGTTTTCAGATAATCAAAAGCCTTTTAATAATGTACTACATGAAAGCTTAATGCTTTATGAAAAATTTATTAAATCTGATTTAAAAAAAAATCATTCAGACAATTTAATGCAATATGTTTTGTGAACACAATGCACATTTCATTCTTTTTTTCCAAATATTAAATACATATCACTATTTAATAACTGTATTTTGCAACTTTTGATTAAAAATAAATTGGAATTTGAATTAAAATTTACTTTATCCCACTATAATCTGTTTGCTAAAATTTAAAATCAAGTCATCAAGTAGAATTATAATAGATATCACCTACACATAAATCAAAGGTATCAATTTACAAAATTTATTATCAAGATCATTTTCCCAATATCTGTACTTCACTTGACAATATATAAAGTACAGGTGAAATATATGAAGAAAACCTTCAGACCATATTTATATATCTTAGCTGATTATCAGAATTTAAATTTTATCAAGTAAGGGATTAACTTTTATATAAAATAAGTTATAAAAAGTGTTTAATTATAAGAAGACTAATAATCTTGTAAATTTTAGTTTATAAAAATAAAATTATACTGCTTAAAAATACCTTATGATACAAATAAAAAATATAGCAATATAATTTTAATAATGAGCATTAGGTTTAAAAATACCTTTGCTAGAAATATTCAAAAATTTGATTACTTTGATCTTTTTGCTATCTGACTGAGAATGGCCAAAAGATTTTAATAAATTAAATAATTTAAATATATTTTTAGAAAAGACTTTCTTTGTTGTTATTATAAATCTACTTAATATGCAAAATTTTTATTATTAACAGATCTTACGTCAATTGAAATAATGACTAAGTATAAATTAATTTGAATTGATAATGTTGATTAAAACATAACGTAACTTTATAAGACAGGCCACAAAGAAATCCCAACGATGACTTCAGGAAAACTTAATTTTTACATTAATTCATTAGAAAAGAGAGAGAGAGAGAGAAATTCAAACACAAAAATGACAATAAAACAAGAGAAAGAAACACAACTTAAATAAGAAAAGTATAATTTATATCTATGTACACATTTTTGACAGCGTTAATCTATAAAAATGTTCAGTCTAAATTCCTAATCGTGAACTGTACAACTAACTTAATGCACTTGGTGCCTTTTTTGTGGGAGGCTCTGGACTTTTGTCTTTCAGTTCTTTATTCCAGTCTTGCAAACCTTTTGGAAGTGTAGTATCTTCTTCAAATGAACCTGTACCTTCAACAAATTCTTCATATGTAGATTTTTCTTTAAATGGCCTTGGGCCAAGAAGTTCTATCATGTCTTCTCGACTTAGAATCTCTTTATCTAATAGACGCAATGCAACCTAAAATACAGCAGTAATAAAAGATTAGGGTAAATTTAAAATAACCATAAATTTTTACAATAAAATCAATCACTATTACAAATTTTTACCACTTAATTACTTAGTTTATCACTCACTAAAATATCAAGAGAATCAATCACTATTACAAATTTTTACCACTTAATTACTTAGTTTATCACTCACTAAAATATCAACAGAATCAATCACTATTACAAATTTTTACCACTTAATTACTTAGTTTATCACTCACTAAAATATCAAGAGAAAAGTTGTTTGCAAAAATGTTTAGACATTGCATACCATGAGGTATTTGAAACAGAAATGTTACACAGACTTTCCTGTTTCTGTCAACATATGACAAAACTAAGAACAGGAAAAGTTTTTTTACAAGCCATTACATCCATAAAAACTTATACTAGTGATATTCATATGGAATACCATTACCTTTAAATAAATATAACAAAATGTACAGGAGTGGTGGGATAGCTTTTCTGCAAAGCAGGTTTAGGGTTGCCAAATAGCAAGAGAAGGCAGGGTTGCCACATTTGGCGACAAAAATGGCGGTATACCATGGACAGATGGAGAACCTTCTGGAACGAATTCTTACCGGTTTAGCCCAGAATGTTTTTCGAACACAAGCCGAAAGCTATATGAAACCTGCTGGCTTGCAGTTAGTGTGTGTGCCTCATAGAGTGCGAGATAGTTAGTGTCTCGAGTTAGTCAGTCCGTGCAGAGTTGATCAAGTTGACAGACGAGCAGCGAGTGCCGAGTGGGTCATCGAGTGCATCGAAGAGTCTCTTAGTGTATCGTCGAGAGAGTGTTTTAAGCTCCAAGAACAACTGAACCGAAGAGTCGGGAGCTGTGTTCTGTGTGTCGTTGAGTGCATCCCGAGTTCTAGTGTGGAGAGTCTTGAGAGTATGTGGAGTTCCAAGAACGACTGAGCAGAGTCGGGAGCCATACTCTGGTGCTTTGCAGTGAAGCTGCCTCCACCGTTATTGCCTGACAGTGTGAAGGCAGTGTCGCTGATTGTTCCAGCATATTTATTGTAGATCTTCAACTGTAAAAGTGTTTTGGAGCTGTCCTGATTATTATTAGTAAATAAAGTGTGTTTCAATATTTCATCAAGTGTCGTCGTTATCCACTCCAAATCCACACGAATACCGTACGAACGTGAAGGAAGAAAATAACGTAACAATTAGTGTCAGAAAAAAATGTAACAATATATTTGTCATACACGTACATACGATAAATTATTCATGAAATAATAATATCTTTCATATTACATGTCATGAAATGTTCCAATCAAGTAATTAAAATAATCAACTGACTATACAAGAATCGATAGGTGCATCTTTTATTATATCAACAACTTGAAATCTTGACCCTAAAAATGAAATGATTCCAGATGCCTAAGCTGTATTGGTGTCCTAAACTATTTTTAAGATTAATATTTAACCTTATACTAAGAATTTCAGAACATTCTATTAGTCAGCAAATAACACTCAACCACAATATGCAGTCTTCCTTAAATATTTTTTTTTTGTTTTCAATGGATAGGATGACGAATATTGCTAAAAAGGATATAATAATAATAAACTCAGAAGCAGAATATACATGCAGACAGAATTAATTGTATATTCATTTAGTACTCGCAAATCAAACATGATATGCATTCTTAAATAATTCAGCATTATTTATATAAATTTTTATATAAATTTCTTCAAAAATTCAGCACTACTTATATAAATTTACAGCATAATGAAAACTACACAAAGTCCACTGCTCAAGTGCTGTAATTGCTATGATGAAAATTACCACAAAACTGTTAAATGAAATCTTTTATACAGCAAATGCAATTAATGCCCACTATTGCGTAACTTAAATTATATTGAGAAGGAAAAATAAAATACACTTCCACCGAAAAGACAGTAATGATTAGGTACTTATGAACACTGATTATGCATGGAATGAGATACATCAGAATCAAACTTTAGCTGTACATGCTAGCATAGCAACTAAGACACTTTCATCTGATACTGACATTTCCATGCTGTGAAAATGCTGGAAATAACAACATGCACCAAATCACAATAAAAAGATAATTGAGAATCTATAATTCAGGATGCACTGAGAACTACAAGAAATACACACATATACAATGAATGTGTCCAATCACTGAAATTATCATGCTGAATGCTACAAAATGCATTGTGTGATAATTAGTCAAAGGCATCTGGTTAAAATCTAGTCAGCGTACAGTAGGTATCAGCCTATTTAGTATCAATCAGCAAGTAGGTTGCTGGTAAGCAACTTGTAGTAACCAAAAATCTTAATTTGGTGCAACCTTACACCAAATTAATTAAGATTGTTAAAAAAAAATCTGCTCAGTCTGCATTCATTCATTATTTAATTTTAACAGTCTATTAAAATTGTTAAAATTACATAATGAATGAATGACATCAATGAATGCCAAGGTCATTGGTAACAAGTGACACTATGGATGGGAAAGTCACAAGAGTAGAACAATGCAATGTTTGCTGCAATAATAATAGTTGCCACAGCAAGTAGATAATAGGTATGTGGTAGTGAAATATAACATTAAAAAAATTTGAATTCGGCTGTAGATATTTCTAATGTTTTAAAATGTTTCATAACAAATAAGATTACCAAAAAATGATGTGTTTAAAGTGATTTTTTTTTTTTTAAATCTTTGAAAAGCACACTTTTTATTTTATCTTGTTTTTACAGTGCAAAATAAACCATTACAAAGATTTTAAATCGTGTACTAAAGATGCTTCATAAACAAAATATAGAATACAATCAAAATATAAAAATATAATCAAAATTATATCAATATAATATAATTTCTGGAAATTACACTATCAAACAGCAAAATTCATCTGACAAGAACATGTACACTACGTAAAGATCCTTAACACATTGAGTACCATAGCATTTTATATAAATTGGTTAAAAAATGACTATTGATTTTCAGACTTATTCTGTAAGTCTATATAAACATAATTAGTATTTTATAATTTTAGCTCATTTTAAACAAAATGTAACTTTTTTTAATACAGGTTTCGTACATATTTTTGCACACGGAAATTAAGTACTTTTAAGGACCATTAATGAAAAAAATTAAGGACCTGTGAGCAAATGGGAACTGAATAAATTCAATTAAAAATATTATATATATGCCTGAACTTCACTTTTTTAATACCCTCCTAAAAATAAAAGAGATTCGTAAGTACGATGCATTATTATTAAACATAGCCTATTTAACATAATTATTAATGCGTTTGAGAATAAAATAAATATTATCAAATCTATCAAGTATCATTAAATATTTTACACGTATAACAACTGGACATATTTGAAAGAAGATAAGTGACATTTTAGTTACGTTTTACTAACAGCTTTTTTATTTTTAATGTCTCATTTTGTCACATACTTGCTCAGTCTAGAGGTTTAGTTAATAGTAAGCAGATTTTATGTCAAGCAGCATAGGTTAAAATGAGCATTAAAATCATAATCAGCATGATTCATAACAAAAGACTGGCTGTTGTCACCGCTCCTGCTTGCCTAGAGAGAGACCGGCTGATCAGAACAAACCTGAAAGGCCTGATGTAGGCACAGTTAGTAAGTTTTGAAAGTTAGCTGAGCTCTGTCTGACGCAGTTAGTGTCGTAGCTTCATGTAGAGTTCCAGGGGTTGTAACTCAGTTAATATACTTTAAGATTCTATTAAGCCACTAAAGCCCTAGAGGTGATAAGTTGTTTTTCATTATTTTAAGTTTCACTAGATGCGAAGAATAAGTTTTACATGAATTTTTATATTTTTGTGTCTTACCTTGTGACCACTGTAAAGGTTAATAAAAGGCAATAACTCCCTTTAATATGAAAATATAATTTTAAAGGGTAACTTAGTTATAAGTAATTAAATTAGGTATTATATAATCTTAGTCATATGGATTTACATGGACACTATCAAATTAAATTTTTTTGAAATAATGTTTGTTAAAAAAACCCTATTAATATCACAATCTAATAAAATTTCACAGTTTAAAACACATGCAATTTACGACATTGAATTTTAAACAATATTACAATAATTACACTTTAAACATTTATATTTTGTAGCAACAAAACTCAACAAAATAATTATGTGGCTTTTTAATTTGAAGCCCTGCCCAGACATTTTGGCTAATTTATATTGAGTTCCTTCTCTTTAAGCATCTTTTCTAACAATTAGAAATTTGTCTCAATGGTAAAAGTTAAATAGTCGCCCCCCCCGGACAAACGTGAAACAAATTATGGCTATGTCTGAAAGTAACTATAAATCAGAGGTTTAAATAAGCTTCTTATTTAAAAAGAACTTAGAACATAAAGGCATGTTCTTATGCTAACAAAATCAATTACAGCTTATGGTGATGTAATTAAACAAGAAGAGTCAAATTCACACTAAAAATATGGACCAGTGGTCAATTTAATTTCAATTTAATCTGGTTCATTAACTCATATATCGTCATAATAAACTTAAATGTCAGCAGCGGTAATGGAAATTATCAGAGCTGATAGGAACTAATACAGGGAGCAAGCAGAGGTCAGAAACATACTCTTGTCTTACACTCCAAAAATCTATAACTGTCTCAGTACTTTGCATTTTGGTGAGGAAATAGAAATGGGAAATTATAGTAAAGGCTGAAATTGTTAACAACTGGGTAATTTACATAATAACAACTAAATATCTCTGAAGAATAATTTTCTTTCTCTTTATATATTTAGTTCGTTTCTTCAACACGTTTCCTTTTCATTATATGAAATACATATTGTAAGGTCTGGTCACAGAGCTGGTGAGGCATAACTTTTAGAAATTAGTGACACACCGAGCAACAAAAATCTAGAAATGACAAAACTTTTAGAATTTAGATGAGGAATTGGAAGCAGAATTTAGAAAGGCACCATGCAGCAGAATTTAGGATCCACAGAGACTGCATCA